TTCTTCTTCTTCTTCTTCTTCTTCTTCTTCTTCTTCTTCTTCTTCTTCTTCCTCTTCCTCTTCCTCTTCCTCTTCCTCCTTGTCTTCCTCTTCTTCTCAACCTTCTCCTTTCTTCTTCTTTTCTCCTCCTCCTCCTCCTCCTCCTCCTCCTCCTCCTTCCTCCCCTCCCTCCCTCCTCCTCCTTCTCTTACAACCTTCGCACTTATGACCACTGCATTATTAAAAGATGATGAAATCTTGAGGAGAAACAGCTGTTCCAGACGTCAGGAACACCTCGCTTCAGAAGCTCCTTTTCTTTCCTTCAGACCCGCTTTCGGTGGGCAACCGTGCCAGGGAGAAGCCTTGGAAGCCGAGATTTGCCATCTGCAGGTAGGTGGGCTTCAGATCTGAAGGTTCTCTTTGAGAGAAGTCTTGACCCTCCTCCCACCCACCCACCCCGGTTTGCACGCTCATTCATGCTATCTTGGCAAGTGCAGATTTTGCAGTCGTGGTGTTCCACCATTAGATGCCTCCACTTGGAAGGGCCAGGAAAACCTGCCTGAAGTTCTCGGGGAGGCCTGACCCCTCGAAAGCAAAGTTCAACTCTCTCTTGGGGAGAGGAAACGGTGAGAATGTGGCCTTGAGCTTCTGACTTCTCTCCTCCTGAAGCCCTGCCTGAAGAGCCAGATGGACTTCATGGATGAGCAGTGTTCAGCCACCAACGTGAAGCCACTCTACCTTCATCGGCAGTTGCCTTCCTTCTACAGGTGGATTTCAGCAGCGAGCTACGCCAAAGGTAATTGTTTTGGGTGACAAACTAGGGTTCAAAATCACATTCACCCTGGAGAAGGGTAGAAAGGAGGGAAGGTTTTGTCCCCCTTTCAAAGGGCAAGGACCACTTGACTGGGAAGAGACTGAGATTCGTGACCATGAGAGGTGGTGATGTTTGGATGGCTGTGAAAGGGGATTGGATGAATTCAGGCAGGACATGAGCCTGTTGAAGGTTATGGCTCAGTGTTGCCACCAGATTTGGTCAGAACATTGCATTGGAGAAGCCTTGGGTCTGGTGTAGCAGCAGCTTCTTCTTCTTCTCCTTTTTTGTCGTCTTCTTCTTCTTTTCTTCTTCTTCTTCTTCTTCTTCTTCTTCTTCTTCTTCTTCTTCTTCCTCTTCCTCTTCCTCTTCCTCTTCCTCCCCGTCCTGTGCCACCAGATTTGGTCAGAACATTGCATTGGAGAAGCCTTGGGTCTGGTGTAGCAGCAGCTTCTTCTTCTTCTCCTTTTTTGTCGTCTTCTTCTTCTTTTCTTCTTCTTCTTCTTCTTCTTCTTCTTCTTCTTCTTCTTCTTCTTCTTCTTCTTCTTCT